AATAAATATATAAAAGAAAGATTAAAAAAACCCTTATACCCTTCACAAAAATTTCAAAATGGATCAAATATCTAAATGTAAAATACAAAGCAGCAAATCTCCTAGGAAGATAATATAGGAGAAAATGTAATTGGGTTTGGCAATGGATTTTTAGATATAACATCACATACATAATTCATAAAAGAAAGAATAGATAAACTGAAATTCATTATAATTAAAATTTTCTGCTCTGTAAAAGACATTATCAAGAGAATTAAAAGACAAGTCACAGACTGGAAGAAAATGTTTGCAAATGACTTCTGATAAAAAAGACTCTTACTCAAAAAATATATTAAATAACCTCTTAAAACTCAATAATAAAACCAAATAACCCATTTATTTAAAAAAGGCCAAAGTCCTTAAAAGACTCTATACCAAAGAAGATATATAGTTGACAAATAAATATATGGAAAGAATGTTCTACACCATGTACATGTTATCAGGGAAATACAGATTAAAATGACATACCACTACCTACCTATTAAGAATGACCAAAATCCAAAATAGTAACACAACCAAATGCTGTTAAAGATGTGGAGTAACAGGAACTCACACTTATTGTTGATGGGAATGCCAAATGGTCCAGTCACTTTGGTTGACATTTTGGCGGTTTCTTACAAAACTAAACATACACTTAACACACTACCTAGTAATAAGAGTTCCTGGTATTTACTCAAAGGAATTGAAAACTTGTATCTATACAAAACCTGTACACGTATGTTTATAGCAGTTATTCATAATTGCCAAAACTTAGATGTAACCAAGATGTCCTTCAGTGAGTGAATGGATAAATAAACTGGCAAATCCAGGCAGTGGAATATTATTCAGTGCAAAAAGAAATGAACTATTTAAGCCATAAAAAACATACGGGAAATGTAAATGTATATAACTGAGTAAAAGAAGCCAATCTAAAAGTGCTAAATACTGTATGATTCTCCCTATATGACAGTCTAGAAGATGTTCAACTATGGCAATGGTAAAGTATTCAGTGGTTGCCAGGGTTTGGGGAAAGAATGAGTGCATAGACAAAGAAAAAAGGATGGTGAAATTTAGGGTGGTGGAATTACTTTGCATGATATTGTAATGATGAATACATGTCATTATATATTTATTCAAAACCAATAGAATGTGCAATAGCCAGAGTAAACTGCAATATAAACTATAGACTCTTGGTGATAGTTATGTGTCAATGTAGATTCATCAATAGAAACATATTTATTGGCATTGAACCCATGATTGCTCCACCACTGAGCTATATCCTCAGTCCTTTTTGTTTTATTTTGAGGCAGGGTCTTGCTAAGTTGTCCAGGCCTCTAAATTGTGATCCTTCTGCAGTAACCTCCCCAACTTCTGGGACTAGAGGCATATGCTGATCTTCCTTTTTTATGTAGATCCAAGTTTCTGAAATATGTCATTTTATTCTTTATGAATAATTTCTGCTGACATTTCTTGCAAAACATATATTTTTTTGCACTTTGAACATGATATACATAGGTGTAGTTTTTTTTCCATATGTATTCTAGTTGGTGTTTGTAAAGCTTCCTAGATCTGTGTTTTGGTGTCTGTCACTAATTTTGGAAAACTACCAGACGTTTTTGCTTCAAATATTATTTTGTTCCTTCCCTTTGTTTCTTTCTCTTCTGGTATCCCTGTTATATATCTGTAAAAGTTTTGTTATTTTCTTTCAGTTTGGGGATGGTCTATTCCTTTTTTCCATTTTATTTTAGTTTTTGAGCTTTCTGTTGGCATTTCTTTAATGTTCCAATCATTTCTTCCCATTTTCCAGTCTGTAATGATCCTGTCGAAGGCATTGTTTATTTTTTATTACAATATCTTTAATTTCTCCAATTTCCTTTTGATTCTTTCTTAGAATTTTCAACTGTTTTCATTACTCTCATATTATTGCATATTGTACACTTTTCTACTAAAATCCTTGTCATGTTAATTCTAATTATTTTTAAAGATTTTTTTTTGCAGTAGTGGGGATTGAATGTAAACATAATTATTTTAAATTCCTGGCTTGATCATTCCAAAATATCTGCTATATCTGAATTTGGTTCTGGTGCTTGATTTGTTTGCAAATCAAGTCCTCAGACTCTGTTTTTTGGCTTTTAGTAAGTTTGTAATTTTTGATTGAAAGTTGGACATGATGTATTGGGTAAAAGAAACTGAGGAAATAGGCCTTTAGCATGAGATTTTTATTAGGGTCACTAGAAGTTAGGCTCTGTATACTATTTGTAGTAGTAATGATATAAAACAGGCTAAAATGTGTTTTGCCCTCCTCTTTTTCTCCTTTATTGTCTTTGAAATCCTTAGGTTCTAAAGAAAATGGAAATAAAACTTTGAAAAGTAAATTTCAACCTTTGACAAGTTGGAAAGATTTATAGAACGTCTTTAAACCAATAAGTGATATGGAACATTTATTTATCTCAGTATTGTTTTCATTTGATTATTAGTGAGGTTGAATATTTGTTCATATTTATCTTTTGTTCTCATTTCTTATTCCACAAATTGCCAGTTCATGTTCTTAAATGGTTTTTCTATTGAATTTATTGTTCTTTTATTGATTTGAATGATTAAAAATGTTCTAATAATACCTTGTTTATTATTTATTGAAAATATCTTCTCCCGGTTTCTTGCCTATGTGTCTTTTCTTAACTATTTTTATTTCCATAATCAGAGAAATGTGTTCTAGAGTGAGGGAAAGCAATGTGTTTGCTACAAGAAGAGTATTGGTTTATTTTGACCTTGTTTCATGAAAATTAAGAGATAGAAAAGCATGGGGTTAGAGGATAAACTGCTTGATTTGGAAATTCAGTTTACCAATCAGTTGTCAATTATTTACATTTACTGGCCACAGTGTGCTAGGCCGTGTGGTGGATAGAGAGTAAAGAATGAATGTTGCCTACTTTTGAGGACTGTGATGAAGAAATAAACCATGAAACATAAAACAAGTAACATGGTATGAGCTCAAGTGTGCTATGCTACAAAGCTGTGGCTGCCCAAATTTCTCTTCCAACAAAGGGAAGTGTGTGGTTTGAGTTAATTGGGAGTTGTTCATACAAAAGGAGGTCTATAAGTTGAATGGGAACAGGGACTATCAATAAAAATTTTTGCTCTTTTTTTTTTTTTAATACAATTAGCTTTGCAGTTCAGTTGACCAGAGTCCTGGGTTCAAGCAGGTGCTAGACAGTCACATCCTGAACTTTGGCGGGGGTTGGTGGGGTGAGAATCTACTTTATTTTTTTATTTTTTATTTTTTATTTTTTAAAGAGAGAGAGAATTTTTTTTATTGTTTATTTTTTTAGTTTTCGGCGGACACAACATCTTTGTTTGTATGTGGTGCACAACATCTTTGTTTGTATGTGGTGCTGAGGATCGAACCCGGGCCACACACATGCCAGGCGAGTGCGCTACCGCTTGAGCCACGGCCCCTTGCTCTTTGTTTTGTCCCTAGCACTTAGCACAGTGCTTGACAAACAGTAAATGCTCAAATATTTGTTTAATAATTGGATGATGTTAGCATGTGTGGCCAAGGCCATTTACAGAGACCTAACACAAATTGTGTGATCCACTGCTTCTACACTATCACTAAGCAGCTTTTAGAATGCTCTGATACATCCACATTGCAGACATTAACTTGCATTCCCAAAGCAAGGGGAACATTAACTTTAGAAAAAGAAAGGACACATAGCATGCTACCTGTTCTTACCATTATAACAGAACAGTAGTTAAGATTTAAGACTCAGACAAATCTTGGTTTGAGTCCCCTTTCAGTTACTGATAATATGCTTCTTGATTGTCCTCATCTATAAAAGAAAGACTATTGGTAGTATTTACTTTATGGGTCATTGCGAGAATTCAGTAAAACACCAAGCCAGTAGTACGGTTCTATTGATATTTGGTATGCTTTTTCTCCTGATGTATGTTTATTAAAATGGATGGAATATATGACTGATTTTATATTTTGTGACTTGGTTCGTGTTTACTAACAAGTATTTTTTCTATCTCCTTTCTCACAGATTCAGAGACATATTGTGTGTTTCAAGACAAGAAGTACAGAGTGGGTGAGAAATGGCATCCTTACCTGGAACCTTATGGTTTGGTTTACTGTGTGAACTGCATCTGCTCAGAGGTACAATCCCATATGACACGAAATTTCCCAGTTTGTTCTTTAGCAATGCTCAGATGGCCAGACAGTATAGGTGATAAAGGCTTAAACCAAATGAAGAAAGAGCCAGGAGCAGTGTTGCTTGCTTGGAAGGCTGAAGCAGGATGATGGCAAGTTCAAGGTCAGCCTCAGCATATTAGTGAGGCACTAAGTAACTTACTGTCAGATTTTTCAAAAACGGGGCTGGGAATGTAGCTCAGTGGTAAAGTACCCCTGAATTCAATCCCTAGTTCCCCCCACCAAAAAAAAAGAAAGAAAGAAAAGAAAAAGGAAAAAGAAATGAAGCAGATTGCAAGGAAAAATAAATATCTGTGTTTTTTTTCCTGTACTGCTTTTTGGCTTGATTTGTATGGGATCTCTGAATAATTGCTATAGACAGGTATCTATGGTCTTTTAGACTAATGATATAGAGCATGGTGGTAGAAAGTAGAAGAGCTTATATTAGGAAAAAGCTCAATATAATCTCTGGATTATAAGACATAATATTTTTTGGAAACTATTTCCAAGCCTTGCCTTAAGAGAGGAGATTAGGACAGATTATATACTGGTTAATTGGGAGAGTATATTTTATGTAGTCTCAGCTAATAACTCTAATTAAGAATGAGGCTGATGTACCTTGGCCTGTATCTTGTGAGGATTAGAATTCTCTTGCCCTGGCCTTGGCTTCTGTCACATCACTTAAACAGGCATTTGGAAATTTAAATGCCATCTTTGTAATAAATTAAGCAGGTAGTTTCACCTTCTCTCCATGGTCTTTACTCAAGATCACAGCCATAGTCTATCTTCCTGAATAAGCTTCTATCATTGTAGTAGGCCAGGGATTTTCAGTGTCTGCACTTTTGACATTTATGGATAGATATTTTGTGGCGGGGGCTGTCATATGCATTGTAGGATACTTAGCAGCACCTCTCCTGTGAATCCACTTAATGTCAGTAGCGCAAACCCCAGTTGTGATAATCAAAAAAGTCTCAGACATAGTCAAATTTCCTGGGGAGCAAAATTACCCTTGGGGGAGGACCTGTGCATGAAGCAAATTAGGAAAGGAAGCTTTGCACTAGATCTTAAGGATTGAGAATTTTGATCACATGGAAAAAAAAATTCAAGACCATTCTCTTACTTGTCTTACTTGAGGATTTGTTTAAGGAATGAAATTCCTCCCACTTGCCAAGCTAGAGCAGGAACACTGGCAAGCTTGGCATTTTTTTTTCTTCCATTTAACAAAAATTCGGGCTTTCCAAGCCTAGTCCTTTCACCCATTTAAACAATTTTTTTTAATTTTTAATTTTTAAAAATTTTAATGTTTTATATGATAACAGAATGCATTCCACTTCATATTGCACATATAGAGCACAATTTTCATATCTCTGGTTGTACACTAAACAATTTTAAGCATGCAGAAACCTGACCTTCAAGTAATATTAGGAGATATAAGAAGCAATGGGTTCTAGATTTAAGACAGATAAAGTTTCTGACCCTGGCTCTGCCACTAGTGAGCCATGTTGTTTTGAACAAGTTACCTAACTTCTCTGAGATTCCCTCAGCTTCCTCTTCTTTAAAATAAGATAATGATATTACCTAGTTCATGAGGCTGTGGCAAGGATTAAAATCACTAATTCATTTAAATCAATTAAAGCAACGTTTGGTCATGATAAACATCTAAGAAACAATAACTGCTGTTGCCATCACTGTCATCATAATTATCATTGTAGTTATTATTATTATTATTAAACTCTTAACCCTAGAACACAATTCAGTACACAGCATTAAGGATCAGTTTAGATCTCACCTGGGAAGTGTGCCTTTGGTGTGCTTTGGTGATCTCATCTCCAGATGATATGACCAGTCTCTGAGAAGTGTGGTGCATAAGAAACTTCTGTGGTGTTTCCAAATGTAATGTTCCAAGAATGTATTGTAGAAAGCACACAATAAAGGAAAATAGGTTGTGGTAAAGTGATTACAATTTGTATAAAAGAAGCCTGCCCTTTTAAATGGATAGGGCATGTATTAAATAGAGTACCTGGGGACTGATTAACTTCCTGGTTTGTCATAATTTTATCAGATTCTTGATCCAACACATTGGAAATAGACAGCTAACCCTTGGGGGCCAAGGCTTTGATGTCTGCAAGGCAGTGAAAATGTTAATAGGATCCCAATGCCAGAAGTTGATGCACTAGGCATCTTCTCTCTCTCCATGCTCTTCACTACCCTTTTCTCCACAACAGCCTTACAGATACAAGTAGCCCTTGCTTCAAATGAATTATAGATGGGAAATGTAAATGTGAAATGTATTTTGAAAGTCTTTCTTTGTTCTAGCAATGGCCTGAGAGCTGTCAGAGTTTGGGATCATGTAATTGTAAGTCAGGCAGAGACCCAATTGCCCCACCCAGGCATAATAGATAATCAGCTCAATTCCTAACTCTAGCTTGTTCTCAGAAAACATTCTGGCTGCAAAGGGAAATGAGAATTGTCACTCTGCCTACTGGACCAAGGCAGGCTTACATAGAATCCCAAATCCATGTGTTAGGGATACTTTCTTGCCCAGGGGAGGGTAACAACTCGAGGGACCCATTGCTCATCATCCTTTCCCTTAAATGGCATTGGATAGGTGATTATGAAATCAGAGTGGGATCTTAGAAAAAACATGCAGCTAGAGAATTAGGGAAGGATAGAAATGCCCAGAGCCAGACCAGAAGAAGCTTCCCACAATTAATGGTAGTCTTTGAAAACTGGAGCAATAGTGATCCAGCCTTAGAAAAACATTCCAGTAAGCTATCAACCAACCCAGAAGAGGTGCTAGTGATGAGAAAGGAAAGAAAATGCTGATTGCATTCAGCTTCTTGGGAATGTTATTCATTGTCTGGGTGAGTCCCTGCATGAATGTTTTCCAAACTGGCATGATCCCAGTGACCTTTGAAAGATATTTATTCTTTCTTGGTGCCTCCTTCTTTCAGAATGGGAATGTGCTTTGCAGCCGAGTCAGATGTCCAAATCTTCATTGCCTCTCTCCTGTGCATATCCCTCATCTGTGCTGCCCTCGCTGTCCAGGTAAACCAATTTGCTTCTCTATTCCCATCTGTGGTTCTCCTTCCTCCCTCTTCACTCAGTTCAACCCATCTCCCCTAAGTTCCCCAGAAGGGAAACTGCCAGACAGAAATAACAGTAGGACACTTTTAGGCAGTACAAACTGGCCCCTAAATACTGTTTATAGCCCAAGCGGGACACATTCTAAGCTCTAATAAGTTATTGGGTACCCAGTAACAAATTTTTATTGGGCTTTTAATCATTTGAAGGGGGATATCAACTGGGGGAAGGGAATCGTGGCTCAGAGATTTTCTGTCATAAACAGCCTCTTCCTGCCATGGGCAGCAGGCACCAGGGGAGTTGCAGCATTGCAGCAATTAGTGCTGGAATTGCATCCAAGCATAGCTTCGAAATGATGAGGGGCTGTTCATAAATCAAAGGAGCTGAGCCAGTGAGGTTTATGACAGTATAAAGCTGCCTGCCTGTTGAATAGTCACCTCCTCCACATTGCATGGTTATTAAGTACACGCTGTTAAGAGCAACTCTGGGGGGAACCAGGCAGAGACTTTTTTCACAAGACCATTAGGACCACTACTTTCACGATTTGTGGTTAGGGTGTTTTTCTGAGGCAGGGACTCCGTCAATGACACTGTTCATGTCTGACTGGAGCCTGGTTCCCACACCAAAGGCGTGGAAGCATGGAAAGATTCAGAGAATGTCTGTGCTCTCAACAGCAGTCCTAGGAAAGCTATGTGACAGTCTTCGGATCTGTGAAGTAGAAGCCTTGTCATCCTGTAAGTCAATTCTGTTTCCCTCTAGGACAAAAGTTCTTAATTCTGGGTTCCTGGGTGGACTTTAAGGAGTCAGAGAATGCTTTAAAATTGTTGGCAGTTTTGGTGTAACAATGTACAGATGAAAATTCTTTTAGAGATGATCGATCCATAGCTTTACTGGTATCCCTAGTTTGGCATTGTTATTGCTATTTCTTTATAAATTATACTTTTCTGCATCAGTGAATACGCTCTGATGAACAAAGGCAATTCTTCCCCTGATGGGAAAGATCTTAACCATGTCACAGGTTTATCCTTCTGAGTATTGGTGATAATAGTACATGCTTCAAGATATGAGAGATTGATTTGGCATATGATGAATCAGAAAACTGTTTTTTGGAATAAATGCCTACATGAGGCTTACTATTTTTGTATATGATTATGTGTTGCTGCTTAAGCTGGATTACAAGGGTGTGATATATGAGAGGCTCTGGTAAATGGGAGTAATATTTCTGATAAAATGGCTACCTGGGGTTGTTATTTTTTAACCTGCCATGCAACCTGTCAACTTGCTTTATAAAAGCTTTCTTTCCTAGAATTCTCCAGAAGTAGTCTAATACTATAGGAAACTATCTAAACCACTATGGCATGGCCCAGACACAGAACCTAGTAAAGCATAAACTAGAGTATGGCTGTCACCTACCCCAATTGCCTGGGAAGCAGATGGTAGGAAGCAAGTATTGAAAAAAAAAAGGAAAGTATAGGCCAGCAAAAAAAAAAAAAATATTCAAAGAACTGAGCATATAAATGTTTATAGCAGTGCAATTCACAATAGCCAAGTTATGGAACTAGCCTATGTGCCAGTAAATAGATGAATGGATAAAGAATATGTGGTATATATACATAATGAAGTTTTACTCAGCCATAAGGAAGAATGAAATTATGAGATTTACAGGAAAATGAGTGAAAATGGAGAACATCATGTTAAGTGAAATAAACCAGACTCAGAAAGTCTAAGGTTGAATGTTTTCTTTCATATATAGAAGCTAGGAAGAAATGGGAAATAAAAAGGAGGATACTATGAAAATTGAAGGGAGAACAATACAGTAAGGGAAGAGAATCAGGAGGAGAGAAGGGTAGGAATTATGGGATTAAATTGGTCAAATTATGCTATGTGCATGTATAAAAACTTCATGATGTGGGCTGCAGCTATAGCTCAGTGGTAGAGTGCTTGCCTAGCATGTGTGAGGCACTGGGTTCTATCCTTAGCACCACATAAAAATAAATAAATAAATAAAATAAAGGCATAAACAAACAAAAACACATCATGATGAATCCCATTATTGTGTATAGTTGTATTCCTCAATACAAACCATAAAAATTGAGGTCCTAAATCCCAAAGGACAGGAAATGGAAAGAATTGAACACCATTTTATTTTAAGACTTAAAAATCTCATTTTACAGAGTATAGAAACAAGCTTTCCTTTTTGTTTTCCTTCTTGCTCTTGCAGCTCACTTCCTTGTCAGTTCATTGTACTTCTTATTAATTATGCAAGATCTTTCTAAGGATAATAGTGCTAAAGTTCTATAATCCTTATATGCAAAAAATGTGTTGAGTTTTGAATGATAATTGGGCATGTTCATTTTCCCTCAGCACTTTGAAGATATTAATAAACAATTTGTTGACTTCTTTTGTTTGTTAATAAAAGTCTACTATTTGATTGTACTTTTTGGTAGGTCTTTTTGTTTTCTTCGTCTAGCTTTTCATATTTTCTCTTTTTTCTTTCTTTGTTGCACATGGTGAGATTGTAGATATGTGATTTATGTTTGTTTAGCCAGCTCTGCATATGATGTTTTTCAGTCAAAGTAAATAATTTCCTCTTCAATTTGTCGTCATTATTTTGGTAAACATTCCCTTTTCACTTTCTATCTTTTTTTCTTGTTCTCAAAGTTTTATTTTATGCTTTGTATCTCATTTGTCTTCTATGTCTCTTAATATTTCCTTTATTTTTCTTTCTTGGTATACTTAATGTTATTACTTCAACTCTATACTCCAATTCATGTATTTTTTCATGTATACTATTTAGTTCATCTGTTGGGTTTTTCTGTGTGTTTTATATTCAATGAATATATTTTTCTCCACATTTACAAATTATTTTAAAAATATCTACTAGTTGCTCTTTTGTAATTCCACATTATTTTGGGGATCTTATTTTTTTATTTCTTCATAGTGGAAACCCTTTTTCTGAATTTTTTCTTGATTTTCTAGTTTTTGTTTAAAAGCTCATTATCTCTGGGAGTTGTGTCTTGCATAAGCCTTCCTTCTTTCTAGAATTGCTGTTTCTGACTTTGTGGCTCACTTAGCTCTAAACCAGGTTATGTATTAGTGTCCCAGCTTGTGTTCCTCATACCTAGGTGGTCTGTTTCCACATGTTTTCTTGTGCAGTGCTACTCACTAATAACAAAGATCTTGGACTGGTACCTCAGGTACAACTGCCTACTTTGGACAATCAGTGTGCTTTAGGATACAACTTTGGGTGGGCAGAACTATGTCAACCCCTTATTACATATGAGAAGTGTGACCCTGTTACCTAGCTACATAAGTCAGCTTTCTATCATGGTGATAAAATACTGAGAAAAGGTTTATTTTAGTTTATAGTCTCATTTCAGTTCATGACTGGCTGACCCTTTTGCCTTTGAGTAAGTGGTTAGTCTGTGTATCATGGTGGGGAACACATGCTGGAGGAAACATTTCACCTCATAGCAGCTAGGAAGCAGAAAGAGAGAGAGAAAAAGAGAAAGTGTGAGAGAAAGGGGCTGGGATCCCAATATTTCCTTTCAAGAGCACTCCCCCAGTGACCTAACTTCTTTCCACTAGGCCTCACCTCCTGAAGGTTTCACCACCTCCCAATAATGCCATATAATGATGAGCAAGCCTTGGATACATGGGCCTTTGGGGAACATTCAAGATCTAAGCCATCATACCACTTTCCCGTAGGAAGCCTCTTGCAGGCTGTAGTTCAATGGAGCTGTTTAGAACCAACTATCTGTATGTAGCCTCAACTGCCTTTTGACCCCCTTTAACTAATGATCTTTCTTTCTACCTATATTTTATTCTACAAAGAGTTTAATTTTGTTTCTGTAATTTTTCAGTTTTAAAGTTTCATTCATTTTTTCAGCTTCTCACATCATTGCTCTTCTATGTTTGGAAAAGATTTCTCATGTACTATCTTTGCCATGTTGAACCAGAATGCAACTAATCTTTCTATTAAAGATAAAACAAAATCAAGTGGGTTTAAATCATAGCACAGAAGAATGGAGTTTGATAAAGGAAGGCCTTTGGGCTGCAGTTGTTAAATTCTGCAATAAATGACTAGAGTATTTTGCTCTCTTTACTATTTCTAGAAATAAAATGTACCCACCCATCTGAGATAGACTTGGCACAGCCCTGATTTGAGCTAGGGCAATGGATGTGATGACTCTCTGTATTCCTTCCACCCCAGTGAATATTAGGCATGAAGAAACTCATGCCTTCAGGGCCACAGAAATGTTTGGTCAAAGGAAGGGGCTCTCATTTTCTGTCTTAATCTAATAGAAGACACTGTGAAAAATGTCCTCACTTAAAAAAGGAGTATTTAAAGCCAAGATGATGAACGAATTTTGTGTCCAAAAGAGAAAACTAGTAGTGACATATATAAGGCACTCCTTTTACGTACAGTCCTATATCAGCAGTATGATATGGAGGAACATTATCTAGATAGTGACAAACTTGATGGGGGGAGTCCTACATGCCATGTTTAGGCAGGAATTTTTCCATTGGAAAAGATGGAGGAGCTGTCTATTTCCATTTTTTCTCTGTTTCTTGAAGTTCTGACTTTCTAAACTCCTTACCCTTGAATTGTCTAAGCATTTCACCTGTGTTTGAGGTTTTACTCCTGCAGCTCTGGTTAAACCATGGCAATCAGAGTATACAGACTACATTTCCAGGGCTTCCAGAGAGAAATATATACTAATTTCCATGAACAGCAAATGAATTTTTTTTTCAGCATCACTTGTCCAAGTCTCTGTGGCAGAGGTCAAGTCTTGGTCACATACCACAGGGCTCTACCGGGCCCAAAGAAGCTGGTGCTACATGGAGACTGGAACGTTTTAAATGGAAAAGTCACAATGAGCTTGTATGAATATGCCACAATGAATCCCAGTATGATATATAATTATTATGAACCAATCAATACACATTTTTTAAAAAAACTG